GAGGAGGCGACGATCAAAGCAGATGGAGGCGGAGCCAGGCGACACAGCTGCGAGACGACGCGGCGCAGCTAGGAGCCCGACGGGACATGCAGCCGCAAAAAGCCGCAGTCCGAAGCAGTGCGCGCCGAAGGAGGGAACATCGAGCAGCCTGCCTGTTAAATCGTCAGTCTCCCGGAGCCCAGTGTCCACGCCTGTAGCCGCCAGCAGAAAGAAGAAGGAAGACCGTCGCTGGGTGCTGTTAGGTAATCCCCCCCCCTGCAAAAATTGTGGCCCCAGTTAGGGAAACAACTACTGAAGTAGTTCAATGTAAACCGGCGTGAGACCCATTGGGGGTCATGGGCGGTATAGAAATCAAATGTAAAAATTTTTTTTTTTTAAAAAAAATTACTAAATACCAAGGCGCACGGAACGCTGCCTGTTACCTTAAACACACTTAAGGGTGTTACTGGACACTACATTTGTTCAACAGAACATGACATAATGCTTTTTGTCGTTCATGCTGATAGAGATGAACTAATTTATGGGCACTTCCATGGAAATCATTTAAACAAGATCAGACTATACTAATTATATATTATGCCCGAGAGGCGGGCATTGCTGCTTGGCTTGTTCTGATTGTGTCTGGCCAAGCTCAAATCCCCCCCTCCCATTTTGTTTCCTGGTACACCACCTTCTCATGGTCTCTGTGTGTATGTGTGTTAAGTGCCATCGAGTCAAAACCAACTTATGGCGAACCCAGGAAGGGGCTTTCGAGGCAAGGGAGAAGCAGAGGTGGTTTGCTATTGTTTTCCTCTGCAGAGTCTGAACTGCTGTTGAAAGAACAGGTCTCAGATAACTTTGACTGACCCAAGGTCACCCAGTAGCTGCATGTGGAAGAGTGGGGAATCAAACCTGGTTCTCCAGATTAGAGACCGCTGCTCTTAACCACTACACCAAACTGGACTGTACTACTTCAGACTGCAAGCGGTGGATTCCAGTTTTCAGTGCTCCTTCATCTTAAATGAAGTCTGAAAGAATGCACTGAACATAGGACTTCCATAGGGATGGCTGTCATGGAGTATGTGGGACCAGTCACAAAATGGCTGCTATAGGGCTGGGTCCAGTCACAAAAATGTGAGGTTCCACAAAATGTTAGGTGGTTTCAGTTATTTCTGAATGGGTGCTCTCTGTATATTCAAAGGCGATGGGCTCTTCTTGAAGCATCTCCTGAGTAGAAGAAAAACAGAATTAGCTCTTTGATGGGGAGCAAGTAGGCACTTAAAGACGGCATCAGTTGGCTGCCATGGTGCCTGTAGACACCACATTGATGATCACTGGCCTACTGGGTTATAAGGATGAAAATAGATGTAATAATTAGAAAACAAAAGGCACAAGCTTTTAAGTGATGGCTCTGGAGATTAAAGTCTCGCTGATCCTTTCCTGGTCATTATTCCCTCTGTTGGACTTTATAATTGGATTTTTTTTTTGGTGTGCCCTAAAAAAACTTTTGCAGTGAATTTGTGCCGTTATATCAATTTTTAATGCCTTTTAGCAGTTAAGCCTAGCTAATACACAGTCAAGCCCTCTTGCCTGATCCCTCCCCTGCCATTTCCCCCTCCAGAATACTTCATCAAATGCATGCGAGATCAGGGGAGATGAGAAGGAATTATGCAAAGCCTGCATTCATCAAGGGGGGAAAATGTCAACAATCTGGGCTCACAGTTCCAGGGGAAAAAAGAAATCTGTTTGTATGGGAAACATGCAAAGATTTATATGGAGATACTGAGTGATTAAAATCAATATTATTACATTTTTCCAGTCTGATGCCTGGTATATAAATGCAGAATGAGGTGGTACAGTCCTGTGGTGGTGGACTATACCACTTCAGTCTGTAAATGTGGGGTGCCGCTGCCATCTTTGAGTGTTTAATAAGCTGATAGTGCTGAGGAAAAAAAATAGTGCATCAAAACACAGATTTGTAGGCCAGCCTCTACTCCTTCCTATGCTGGTTTTCTGCTTGCAGCAGCTGAACACATCCTCTTCAGCAATACCATCTGTTCTACTGTCTCAGAACTCAAGCATTTTATTCTGCCATACCTGTAGAAAAGGATCTTTTCCACTCAGGATTGTTTACTCCGGAGTCGATGCTGTTTGGAAGTGGGTTTTGATCACACTTCCCCCCAGCACGGTGGCATACTCATGCTCCTCCCACTGTGTCCCAGACTTTATCTGATTGTTTCCAAATCTGCTTTGCTGCAAAGTTTTGGGAGAGACTGCGGCAAAGTGGCTGGCGGCCATGTGGGTGGAAAAATTCAGATCTTCCCAGCCCCTGTAGCATCCATTCCTCCTCCTCCCACCCATTTTTTTTAAATTTGCAATTGAGCATCATAATGTTATAACAGTCTGTGTATCAGGTTCTCTCTATTCCCAGCTTTCATTTTTTTTAAAAAAGTTTGTAGCCCCTTTCATTGAGGAGATACAAGGAGAAATGTTTATCCTCTGTAACAAAGGGGTCTAGAGACTTACTTGTAAAAAATGAAAGCTGGTCATTCAAAGAATGTGAAACATAGATCTATTCAATCACTGATTTTTAAAACTCTGAATAAGCCCTAGCAGTGCATGCGGGGAGAGGGGGAAGATGGCTGGTGCTGGAGGACTGGGGTATGGAAATGGTAGGAAAACCTGCCACATGGTAGTAGTGTGGCTGCTGTACTGTATTGGCAGCCACGGCAGCCACAGGGAAACTACAGAAGCCTGTTCCCATGGTCTTAAGACTGATGGATGCCTTTAAAAAGTGGGGAGGGTTGGATCCTGACTTACCCAGATCCGAAAGACCCAGAGCAGGTGCAGTCATCAAGGAACTCTTATTTCAAAGTCCTATTCCTCTGGGGTCTATACCAATAAGACACACACCCAGGGCTATTTCTGGGCAGGAATGGCTGGCTCCCAAGTTGGCCACACCCAGCAGGAACTCATTAGCATAATAGGCCACACCCAACATCAGAAACTCATTAGGATTGGCTACATTAGGGGTGTGTGGCCTAACATGCAAAGGAGTTCCTGCTACAAAAAAGCCCTGGGTTTTGACAACAAACAAGGTAAACAGAATAAGAAGCAAAAGGTGGGTGTGGCTGGATGAGCACACTTCTGGCAACATGGGAGTGCGGCCTAATGTGCCAATGAGCTGTGCTGTCAGGGGTGTGGCCTAATATGCTAATGAGTTCCGGGTGTTGGGTATGGCCTATTATGCTAACGAGTTCCTGCTGGGCTTTTTCTACAAAGAGAGCCCTGCACACACCCTTTATCATGCCTTCTTCCAAGTAGCTCATGGCAGTTTATGTAGAAGAAGAAGAGATTGGATTTATACCCTGCCCTTCACTACCCAATGGTGTCTCAGAGTGGCTGACAAACCCCTTTCCCTTCCCCACAACAGACACCCTGTGAGGTAGGTGGGGCTGAGAGAGCTCTTGACAGAAACTGCTCTTTTTCAAGAACAGCTCTTGTCAGAACTACGGCTTGCCCAAGGTCATCCAGCCAGGTGCAAGTGGAGGAGTGGGGAATCAACCCCAGTTCTCCCAGATTAGAGTCTGTGCACTTAACCATTACACCAAACTGGCTCCCACTGAAGCGATACCTATTTATCTACTTGCAATGTAGTTTCCTGTCCTTCATTTTATCCTCCAGATAACCTATAAGCCTGTGAGATGTGTGTAAGTAAAGTGCAGTCAAGACAGAGCTGACTGATGGCGACCCCGCATAGGGTTTTCAAGGCAAGAGATGTGAGAGGTGGCTTGCCATTGCCCACCTCTGTGTAGCGACCCTGGATTTCCTCGGTGGTCTCCCATTCAACCACTAATCAGGGATGATCCTGCTTAGCTTCCAAGATCTGACAAGATTGATACCTATTTATCTACTTGCAATGTAGTTTCCTGTCCTTCATTTTATCCTCCAGATAGCCTATACGCCTGTGAGATGTAAGTAAAGTGCAGTCAAGACAGAGCTGACTTATGGCGACCCCGCATAGGGTTTTCAAGGCAAGAGATGTGAGAGGTGGTTTACAATTGCCCACCTCTGTGTAGCGACCCTAGATTTCCTCGGTGGTCTCCCATTCAACCACTAATCAGGGATGATCCTGCTTAGCTTCCAAGATCTGACAAGATTGGGTTGGCCTAGCCCATCCAGGTCAGGGCTAGATGTGATATTAAAAAGGTAAAGGCAAAGGTTTCCCTTGCTCGAAAGCCAGTCGAATCCGACTCTGGGGGGCAGTGCTCACCTCCGTTTCCAAGCCAAAGAGCCAGCGCTGTCCGAAGGCTTCTCCATGGTCATGTGGCCGGCATGACTAAACGCCGAGGCGCACGGAACGCTGTTACCTTCCCACCAAAGCGGTACCTGTTTATCTACTTGCAATTTCTTGCTTTCAAACTGCAGCTAGGTTGGTGGGAGCTGGGACCAGAGACGGGAGCTCACTCCATCATGTAGCACTAGGGTCTAGTTTAGTTTAGCTTTATTATTATGGTCTTAAGACAAGCATACAATACAAATAGCACTAGGGTCTTGAACGGCTGAGCTACAGACCTTCCGGTCTGCAGCTCAGTGTCTTAACCTCTGAGCCACTGCAGCCCTGAGATAGGTCAGGCTAAAACAGTGGGCCAGCAGGGCCAGATTTTGGGGGGGAAGTTACGAGGCTTGGCTCAGCAGGGGGCCAGCCCCGTAGCTAGGGATTTTGGGGGGAGGGGGCCTTGAGGGGGCCCACCAGCTAATTAAATCAAAGGCTCCAGGGCAAGGGGGGGTTATGCCCAGTGGCTGCAGCTTCCCTCCCTCCCCCGCAAAGCTTCTCTCCTTCCCTGTCCGGCTCCCTTCCTCCCTGAGAAGCTCCACTGCCCCTTCCCATGGTGTGGCGCCGGGGCAGCCTGACTTCCACCCTTGGCTCCCTCCTGGGGCTGGGAGAGGTGAGGCGCAGGGTGGCCGGGCTGGCCATGGAGGTGCCATGTGCGGGCTCAGCCCGCTAAAGCACAGCTGGGTCAGAGGAGGGGCCTTGCCCAGGCTTTACCATTCATGCTTGCCGTCTGGGTGGCTCTCTCAGCCTCGCCGCCGCTGCTATTTGTGCCGCTGCCTCTGAAATCACTGCTCTCGTCCTCCTCGTGGACAGGCTGACAGGCAATCAAGGGGAGGGGGCCAGGGGGGAGGGGGAGCAGAGGCTCGGGGAGCGGGGCCCATAAAAACCGCTAGGCCCCCGGGCTCCGTGGTAGGTATGGGCCTGCAGGGGCCCCTCAAATGCAGGTTGTTGTGTATACTTCCTCCCTCCAGCTGTATGCATGTGTCACTTCCATGTCTGTATGCTGCCTAAGGAGCTGGGACACGCATGTCTCGAGCGGGGAGGTAAATGCAGTTTGCAGGGCTGCAGACCACGGCCCAAAACAAAACAGAAATCTGACTGGGCTGCTCTGGGCAGCAGAGATAATGTGTACATTCTGGTCTGGAGCCAAGAAAGGAGCAGAGCAGAGCCCAGCAAGTGCGGCCGGGAGTGGAGGATGAGGCGAACCAGACTTCATTCTGCCCGCAACGGCTGAGATTTCTCGTTTTATAATCCCTCTGCACACATTTATTTTGGAATTAGTCCTATTTGAAAACAGTGGGGCTTAACGTCTGAGCAAATATGCCTCGGGTCTGGTTATACCACCAGGTGTTTATTTTGGAGGTGGTGAGGTCGTTCCCATTTGATGTAAGTGAAGTATTACGTTTACCAGCTTGAGTGAGGAGCGTTTAAGACTGGTAAGCCCAGAGCCTGACAGTGCAAACCTATGGAAAGTTAGTCCAGTCTGAGCCCACTGACTTCAGTGGGCTTAGACGGGAGTAACTTTTGTATAGCATTGCACTGTGTATTACTTAACTACCCCTCTGGGCCCAAGGTCCTCAAGTATCATGAGCCTGATGTTCCAGGAGCTGTTGTCAGGTTCCCAGTCAAATCACTCTCTATACGCACTTTCTTCAGTGAATGTTTTGTTTAGAGATATGAGATGCTGTGGGTCTAAACTCTTTGTTAGGACTGAGGTGCAAAGGCGGGAAAGCAGGATATAGGTACAACCCCAAGATTCCATTCGCACCCACGCCAGCATTACTGCAGTGACTATGAAAGATATACGGTCATTATCTAGCCAAGCACAGACTTTACTTCAAGGACATTTCTCCTGTGAAAGATGTCCTGAGGCCTCTTAGGAAAGTTACGGAAGCTAGTCTCCCTAAATTACTACAGACATTCACTCCCTCCCCCTAGGCCTGCGAGGGCAGCGATAAGGGTACAGAGAGTAGGCAGAACATATCAGGTTGTACAGAGAGCAAACAAAATATATCAGGTTGAAATGCAACAGGTACAGCTAGTCAGATGCCCGAGTCTGACAGCTGTGTGTCAACTGGAAGGCCTGCAATGGCTCTCCATAAGCACAGAGCCCCTGGAAGTGTTCATCTGTGCACGAGACTGGGGTGCTGAAGTGATTAATTATGGTGAATCTTTAACCCCACAAGGGCAGTTAGGCAGAGAGTGAGAGCTACTGGCCCAAGGTCACGTTTGGCTCCAGTGAAGAAGCCATCAGCAGCCTCTGCGGAAGCTGTAAAAGATCTGTGTTCATCGCAAACGATTGTGCCTAATAGCCCAAACGTGGATCACAGTCAGCTAGTCGTGTCCAGAGTTTTCCACCTTGTGAACTAGCGCTTCTTCCTTCATGCCCATGCAACGGGCAAAGCCAAGACCAAGTGTTGGGTGTTACAAGTCAAAACACTTCAGTATTTACAGGGTTAATGATGTTTGTTAAGTCACATGTTTGTAACCAATCTGTTTAGACAATAGAATGCCTGGAAACTTTGGAGCTAATTTGCTAGTCTGATTGGAAACCAAGGTGTCAAGTATTTAGCATATTGGTTTCTCCTCCCGTTCCTTGTTCTGACTAGAGAAGGAGACGCCATTCGTCTCTTCCCGTTTTACCTTTTAGCTGTAAGGATGTAGGCATATTAGCTCTTTGTTATTTTATATCCTGTGTACCTTTTCCCCATGTTAGGTTGATAGTAAACTTTTATATTTTAATATACACCATGGACTCAGTCTCTTAATACTCTGTTGACTTACTCAAAAAGAATCCCAACACCAAGGCTGGTTCTGCATCTGGCATTCGCTCTACATTTTCTCAACACTGAGGAAAAGGTGCCGCTCAAAACCACATTCAGATACCCCGGGCCAACGCCTACTGACTGCAAAGTCACCCCTGAATGGCCATCAATCTATGCAGAAGGTACCATAAAACCTGATGCTCCAAGAAAGTGAAAGCGGCATGCAGTGTGGAGGTTCCCATAAAATCCGATGCTCAGAGGACGTGAAAGCAGCATGCAATGCAGAGGGGAATTTCCGTCCCAACGTGGGTTTGCTAAAACAACAGAGGGAAAAGCCAATGTAGAATCACCCTAAAGTGCATTTTGAAAACAATTAGCAGCAAGGCTGCAGTTGGCCATTTGCCTGAAGCATATCAGCAGTGACCCCTGGGCTAGTTTAGCTGGAAGGGGTGCATTAAGAGATGTGTTGGGTTAAAGGTGTTGGTTGTTCAGCCAATGTCTGTGGCAAAGAACGTGCATGCTTCTTGCTTTATTATAAGATGTGCAGAGAGCAATTTTGTTCTCGTGTGTTGTAGGGCTGCCCTTGGAGATTTGTGGGTTATCTTTAATTTTCTGCATGCTTTGGCTATTTCTGCTTGTTTGCTCTCTGGTTCGGCTGTGAGAAGTAGGACATTGGGTGTGACCCAGAGTATATAAAGGATAGACAGTAAGACCAGAGAGCAAACAGTGTGGTCCCGACTGCCTCATCTCCTGCTCTGGCAGTTAGCCAGTGTGTTGTGCTCAGATAAGCGTCTGAGAGACCCAGGTTCAAATCCCCATTCTGCCAGGGAAGCTTGCTGTGCATCCTTGGGCCAGTCACTCTCTCTAAGCCTAGCCTACCTCATAGGGTTGTTGCTGTGACAATAAAATGCAGGTGTGGAGAAAAATGTTGTAAGCTGCTTAGAGTCCCCACTCAAGGGAAAAAGCTGGCTATAAATATTTAAGAACATAAGAACATAAGAGATGCCAATGTTGGATCAGGCCAAAGGCCCATCCAGTCCAACACTCTGTATCACACAGTGGCCAAAAATACCAGGTGCCATCAGGAGGTCCACCAGTGGGGCCAGGACATTAGAAGCCCTCCCACTGTTGACCCCCCCCCAAGCACCAAGATGACAGAGCATCACTTGCCCCAGAGTCCCTATCTATACCTTGTGGCTAATAGCCACTGATGGACCTCTGCTCCATATGCTTATCTAACTGGTTAAAAAATCAAGGCACAGACAGTACAGGTTTCTGCACCACCGCACCTGTGTGAGACAGACTATCGTTTATTTAGGTCCTTTATACTCCATCTTTCCCCCCAATGGAGACTTAGTTGTTCTCGTTTCCTCCATTTTTATCCTCACAACAACCCCGCAAGGGCGGTTAGGCAGAGAGCGAGAGCTACTGGCCCAAGGTCACCCATCAAAATTCCACAGCAGAGCAGGGATTCGAACGTGGGCCTCCCAGATTCTAGTCTGACACCGCAACCCCTACCCCGCGCCACTTTATTATACCCAGCCTGAGAGACGCGACTTGCCCAGACAGGATGTAGCAGATTTGGAACCCAGGTCTGCCCAACTTCCCGTCCCCCTGGTCCACCTTTCGGTAGGCGAAAACGAATGGAAAGGTTTTTGTAGAGCAGATAGGATGGCTATTTGCGACCTAACTGGAGCGTTTCCACACGGTTTAGCTAGCATATTGGCTGCCCAACTGTTTCAAATTTTCCACTGTGCTGGGACCAATGAAGGGGAGTGGGTGGGTGGGAAATGATGTCTCTCTGAGCAAAACCTGGCTTTCTTCACAGTCTGAGGAAGAAGATTCTTGTTTTGCAATTAGCGGCACCGTGAGAAAAAGGTACAAGCGCTCCTCCTGCTCTGGAGGCATTCTTGTTTTGACCTTCTCAAGGTTAGCTTCCTTGAGAACAACAAAAATCCTCTGAACAAAAGAAAGAAGGGGGGGCTTGGAAAGCGAAGGGCTCTCTTGCTGGGGTGCACTTTGCCTCAGACCTGTCTTACAATTCAATAAAACCCGAAGAAGGGGCGGCAGAGAAACCTTGACAGGCTGATGTCAAAATAAAATTACGGGGGGGGGAGGGGGAGGCTGCTGTCTGCATGCAGTAATTTCCCTCTTTTCCACATCACTGGGTTTAAAAATGTTCCATCTCTCTCACAGAGAAGCCTGCTGCTGGTGTAATTCAAAAAATGCAAATGCCTGTCAGGAAGACTTTTTGAAAGAGGGGGTCACGTTTTGTACAGAAGTCTCGAGTTCAAGGGAATGGACTTGAATTAGTTCCGAGAGCTGATTAATTGCCTGCCAGCCAGCCGGCCTCCTCTGGCCGCATGGTGGGAGTATAGTCTAGGTTAGGTAAAGGTTCCCTTGCTTGAAAGCCAGTCAAATCGGACTCTAGGGTTGCGGTGCTCATCTCCGTTTCAAAGCCAAAGAGCCAGCGCTGTCTGAAGACGTTTTGATCATGTGGTGCACGGAACGCTGTTACCTTCCCACTGAAGCGGTACCTATTTATCTACTTGCAATTTCTTGCTTTCGAACTGCTAGGTTGGCAGGAGCTGGAACTAGAGACGGGAGCTCACTCCGTCATGCGGCACACTCGGGTCTCGAACTGCTGAACTACCGACCTTCCACAGCCTGCAGTTCAGTGTCTTAACCACTTGAGCCACCGTAGCTCCATTGTCTAGGTTGGGCAAACTCAATTAAACTTTGTCCCTTTCTCTACACTGTAGCCCAGGAAGGTATTAAGTAGCCAAGGACTGAAAGGAAGCACTGGTCAAACCTGGATAGGGAAAAGGCTGCCTGTAAGCCCGTCTCTGTCAAAGTCTCAACAGTGGTAAACGACAGTGCCCTCCAAAAAGGGGGGGGGGGAATAGCAAGGATGATCCATCCTTCAAGAAAGAGATTTTAGCTTTCTTGCAACTGAGGAGGTGGCAGCTAAGCAGGGAGGGAGCTTGCCACCCACACTTTAATAAATCAGCACAGTAAGAGCTCGAAAATTATTATAAAAGTGTGGGCT